CAGAGACTCTATTTCATTTATAACGGTTAGAGGTAGTTTGAAACAAGACATGACATAGACTGGCATGGCAAAAGCAACTTATTTTTTCATGATTTCTTTCCCCTTAGGAGATAAATATTTTGCGATGTACATAGTCTGACTCTGTCAATTATGTAGTCAAACATTTCTTTCTTCTTTCGACCAAATTGTTCTGGAAGACCAAGATATTTTCCACCGCCTCCATGATTCAGAATTTGCAGAATGCTTTTAAGACGATTTTGAGTGCTACCAAAGACTCTAGATCCAACAGTGATTATGGATTTTGTCATATTGATTTTCTGACCCGAGTAGTATTCATAAACATCAAAAATATCTTTGATAGCTTGACAATTCCGTGCATTTGCTTGACAATAAAATTATGAACCATCCGAAAATCGAAGATGGGTTATTGTTGGCACACCATTTCCAATCTTAATTCCCCGAATGTCACCTTCTTTACTTTTTGAAGTAATCAAATGGCTAAGGATGTCTGCATAAAGGATAAAAAGATAGGGTGACAAGGGGTCTCCTTGCCGAATACCTCTATGTGGAGTTACCAGTCCATAGGCCATTGATTAAAACCAAGTAATTGACTGATCGGACTGTCCCCATTATCCAACTGATCCATTTGTTGCAAAAACCAAAAAGCTTTAATGTATATAATTCTTTTAAAACAAAGAGAAGTATGGAAAAGTTTCATTTGTAGATAAATATCACAATATTAACTATTATGTTTTAATTTAATAAGTTGTTACTTTATTGTCTGCTTATAATATTGTGGGTGAAGGTAATGTATGCTGTCTTGATATGAATACAAATGTTGATACGACATAAACTTCTTCTTTAACGCAATGGTTGATAGGGTACTTTCAAAGTATAACTCTAAAAAAGTTATGAGAGATCTCAATTCGTCCTCTTCCGATCCATTCATACATAAGATCTAGGTTTTGAAATTAAATCACGGTATTTTTCTATGAAGTGTTTAAGCTACATTTCTAAACATTTATGGTTCTTGTACACGAGATTTAAGATTAAGATCAAGATCAAGTTTGTATGCTTTTTGGAAAACTTAATGAGTAATACATGCCAATATTCTGGTTAGTGCTCATCTAAAAGCTTCTCGTCTAGGTAAGTGATTTTTACTATATTGGTGTTGACATTGATACCTATGAACTATCAATGTTTCAATTACATCATTATTACCTTCATATAGATTGGTTACAAACATCTCTTCATTACATTCGAAGAGAACATAATGCAAATCAACATCTTAAAGGTATTCACTCGTATACACAACTCAACAGGATTGATAAATCTATTAGAAAAAAGTTAATCTCTTCAAATAATCTACATCAAACAAGTATGAAATGCTATAAGAACCTTGAAATAACTTACGCGGTTCTTCCTCACAAGTTGTAACATTTCATAAATCTGCTATCCATATGTCATTCCATACTGATATGATTTTTATGGAGCCAATTCTTTTAATAATCCCTTAAACTATCGGGGATCTAACAAATATAATACTTCTCCAACCATATGATGGAAAGTAAGATTTCATTATCTCTATCAGATTTGATTTTTGATAATATCCCCATTTAAAAACTTAAGGGAAAAGGATTCCGTGTATGATATCATACGCCATAGTTGTTTAGCCAATAATGTCATGTTAAAATCTTCTATATCCCTAAAGCCCAAACTACCATCTAATTTTACTACAGAACTTATTCCAAGTTTCTAGTGCATTCGTCCCGTATGACCATTGTAACTCCACCAAAATTTAGCAACAACGCTCATGAGTTTCGATGTAATTATTTTTGCGAGGCGAAAACAAAACATAACATATATTGGCACTACTGATGCAATCAATTTTATCATCACCTCTATACCACCTTTATAAATAAAAAATTGCCGACCCTTCATTAATCCTGGTCTGAAGTATGCCCCAAAATAAAAGAAAATACGTTTGTTGTAGAGTCCCCAAATTTCCGGTAGGCCCAAATATAAGCCCATTCCCCCCCCCCCCCAAATTTGCGATACCCAAAATTTTCATCCATGATGCTCATAGAGATTCCTTAATCGTGTGACCAAACTTTATGGAGGACTTCATAAAATATTTCTCCCTTTTTTCTTTGTATATAAGATGTTTTAACTTCGAGCGTTATCATTATGTATGTATTTTCATGAGATTACTTTGCATAATCTCAACAAAACTGATTAATATGTGAAAACAATATATAAATCATTCCCAGTTAGCTAGCATATATATCCTATAATGATAACATTTGTACCAATCAAAAGATAACATATGAGACAATTGTAAGAGATGTTATAATGCTTATCAATTACGATATGACACGTGAATATTGCATCAAAATTATTTACATTAGGCGAAGCTGAGACGTACCTAGTTTCTTGGACAATACACAATAATGGACCTTTAAACTCCACCCAACAAGAATAGTTCTACAAACTAATATTTATTCGTCTGTTTAAAATCTCAAATATAACACTCTTTATTTCTTCTTACTATTCTGAACTCACTCATTTTTTTATTTATCTCATGACTTGTTCAGAAAAAATTGGACGATCCCTCGTTAATCTTCTAAACATGGATTTATTCTTACATAACCACTTTATATTTGATCATGTCTTGCATGCTTTCATATGGAACAGTGTGATGCATTGAAAAAGCTATCTTGTCACACCCATGACTATGTGACATATTTTTCATTGTATATAATGAAGGATGAGTCGGTTAAAAATATCTAGGTAGTAGGTACAATCTCTATAAATTACCAAGCGCAAATATCATTCAAAATTGTGTGAGATATTGTATTTTTATTTCTTTCTAAAATATATTAATGCATCTGTAAACTATTCTAATGCATCCTCTTATTCACAAAAACAGAACATCACTAGAAAAATTGGTTCACGATCTTAAAGTCATTTATAAATTGAAACAGAACTATGATTTATATATATATATATTAAATTGATATATAATTTTGATTAGTAATCCTATTCAAAATAAAAGTAAATATTAATAAATCTTTACGTGTGTGAAAGTCTACACGGGACTGGAAGATGCAATAAATCACATTCCAAAGAGATATGAAGTTTTTGATTTTTTTTAGGTAGACTAGTTACAGACTTACGGTGATGATCTTCAAGTAATTTGTAAAATTGGGATTGAGGTTCCTACCTCCGATATTTCTAATGTTTGGTTATTTTAACAACTATTCTTATGCATTATATGTATCTACTATTTTATCACTTTGTATGTACTGCTCTTCCTACTTGTCTCACAAATCGACTAGGTCTAATAGTGCCTATCTTAGTTGTAATCTTTTTTAGTACTAAAATGAAGAGATAGTATTACCAGAAAAACTACACCTTGAATATCTATGCTTGATTCTAAATTTGTAATAATTAAAAATTGAAAACAATAACAAAATATAAAATAGGTTTAAAAAATCAGAGTACGACTAATTAATAACCGTTTATTAAAAGAGTTTGGGCAATGTATTTAGTAGTGTATGCTTTTGGTAATAAATATCACAGATTCAAATCATATAATTCATTATTCGGTTACAACATGAAAATATTTCTATCTAATACTGTTATTTCCTGTAACAACCCGCCGTGTGGGATCCTCTACCACATGGCACACTCCGCCACATAGCAACCTTACAGCGTTGCAACGCATCGACCATAACATCTTTCATGTGGGTCCAATCTGCGCAGCCCTCTGGTCCGCAGCTCTCTGGTCCACCAGGTAGGTTATTGGTGCATTTGGCGTTTCTCGAACCAAAAATCTCACCCTTTAACAATCTTCCCACAGGACAAGTTGTTACCAATTGACCTGGACCCACATGAGAAATGTTGTGGTCGATGCGCTGTAGCGCTGTAAGGTTGCCATGTGGCGGAGTGTGCCATGTGGCGGAGGATCCCACGGGGTGTGTTGTTATATTTTCTATCTAAGTTGTCTTTCTATGGAGAATTTTTATTTAGGACAATTTAAAATTTATCTCTATGTATAAAATTTCTTCAATTAATTAAAACTTTTAATAGTTTTGGAAAAATATGGACACTTTTAGATATTCTTAAATTTCTATTAAAATATATAATATCTTAAAAATATATTTTTTACAATATCTTTCAACCGTTTGTAAAAAATGATATTTTTTTCCAAATAATTCCAGATCACTAAGAATATATTATTTATATCATTGAATATCATCACCTCTAATATTTTTCTTTCCTACTACACATATGAAATTAATATATATATATATATATATATATATATATATATTGATATATGCATATATTAAACATAAATGTAACTATCAAACTAATAATTATAGTTAAAATTATTATAAATATAATATTCATTTTAAATTAATAAAGTTGAACTAATATTCATTTTTAAATATATTCAAATTACTTGATTTGTTTTTAAAACGAAGCTAAAAAGGAAAAACATTAATTAAATTAATGTGGGGATGACAACTATATATAAAACACATATCATTAATAAATATTTGTTAAGTTTAATTTCTTAGTCAAAGTTTTAAGTTTGTGGGACCATATAAAATGTGGACCGTTGTACAATATGAACTGTTAGATTAACATGATAACATCAAAATAATAACCACAAGATTAGTAAAAAGATTATGGTATACATGTTTGACACGTGTCATAAATATGCCCGAGAATTATCCGCAACAATACAAACTACCTGATAACGAATTCATGATTATTACATGACAAATTTTTGGTGACTATTTTACCCTTGGACCACAAATTGTCTTTAAGAAAATAACCTTTTTTAACTCAAACAAGTTATAAAAAGTTATTTGCCAGCTCATCACCCTTCACAATTATTATTATTTATAAAGTCTTAGTTCTCTTACCATTACTCCTCAGTTTTCCTCTTCTTTAATTTTATTTAGCAGTAAAGTTAAATTTTTCTCTTTCAAGTTTTAGTGTTCTTCCAAAAAAAAAAAAGTGTCTTTGTGTTCTTCAAAAACTCATTTCTTCTTCCAGATCTAAGATTCCATACTTCACCCTTTTTTTGGTTTAATTTGTTCATCTTCTAATTTTTGTTTATTTTTTTTGGTTTAATCATATGGAGTTTGAGTCAGTGATCAAAATGCATTACCCGTATCTAGCCGCCGTTATCTACGATGATAGCTCCGCTTTAAAGGATTTGCATCCATCTCTTACCGATGATTTTTCTTGTGTACCCAGTGTGCATCATAAATCTATCCAGATTAATCTCGACATGCCACATCTTCCACCGAAGGTAATCTCGAATCGTTATCTTTATTTACAAAATTTCACTTCAAAAGTACAAGTTTTGATCATTATATTCAAAATCTAAATTTTGTTCCCTATCACTTTGATATGCAGCCCAACACACATGAAATTCCCTCAAAAGAAACCATCAGCGGTATCACTCCTCCTCCCTGCACTGGAGCTTTTGAGACATATTTTCATGGCACATCCAACGACCAAAGTTTTTCCGGTATGGCCAATACCACCTCACAAACTATTGAATTCAATGTTTCAGATGTCACACATGACAATACTATGTGGAAAAATGATCAAAATCAAGGATTTATCTTTCGGACTGAATCAACCTTTAATCTAACCATGGTTGACTCTAATCAATTCAATGTGGTGAAACCAGTCTTGAGCACAAACGAAGACACCATCATAGCACGGTGCCAAAATGATCAAGTTGTGATCAAGACCGAGCAACTCAAGAAGAAGAACAAGAGATTGCATATGAGAAGGATTTGTAAACCTGCAAAAAAAACTAGCATCGTCAAAGGACAATGGACTTCTGAAGAAGACAAGTAAATTCAACTTTTATTTTTTTTGGAATTCTCACAAATAACCTTTTTATTGATTTTTTTCTTAATAATAAGATTTTATGATGAATTTACCTATATTCAGGTTATTGGTGAAATTAGTGGAACGTCATGGGACAAAAAAATGGTCTCAAATTGCGAAGATGCTTCAAGGACGAGTTGGAAAACAATGCAGAGAGAGGTGGCATAACCATCTTCGTCCCGATATCAAGGTCTCTTAATTTTAATTTTTTACCTTTCTTATTATTTTCATATATCTATATAGGTCATAAAGTATACGCATATGTTTATGGTGGTCTTAAGCATACATATACATATATCATGATACATACATCAACTTGATGTATTCATCATTCAAATTGACATATGACATCATATGATTTTTATTTCTTTTTGGGTCTAATAACATCATATGATCTTGCATACATAAGCAAATAAAGTATATGTCTATTTTTTAATGATCACATACAAATATACAATGTGAGGCATATCATGATATCACAATTAAGAAATATACATATATCAACACAAATTCATCTGAAAAAAATTCCTAGAAATTAAATAATTGATTGAATATGTATATTATAGTTAGTTTTATAACGATATTGTTGAAATATTGATTGTAATTTTTTTTACAAACATAGATTGATATGATATACAATCATACATTACTTTTTCATAGAAAAGGTATCATTTCATTCAAATTCATACATGCTACATTGAGAATCTTTAAAAGGAATTACACAAACCTTTTCACACTTGTCAACATGTATACGGTTTTTAATTCATGCATGACTACTTTAAATTTTTGTCTGTATATACATATATGTCAGTGACAACTAATTTAAGGAATTTTGTTTTTTTGTTGTGGACAAAACTTCACAATTGGTTAGACAATTAAACTAAAGTCATTTTCTCTTAGATTCTCTCATAACAATGTAACAACCCATTTTACTTTACTTTAAGTTATTATTTTTCTTTTGGGCAAAACTTTAATTTAGTTTTTTTTTTTCATTTAACACATAAACATATTTTATGTTGTATATTACAGAAAGATAGCTGGACTGAAGAAGAAGACCAAATTTTGATTGAAGCCCACAAGGAGATTGGGAATAGATGGGCTGAGATTGCTCGAAAACTCCCGGGACGTACTGAAAACACTATCAAGAACCACTGGAACGCGACTAAACGTCGACAACATTCGAGGAGGGCTAGAGGAAAAGATGAAATTTCCCTTGCACTTGGCAGCAACATTCTTCAAAACTACATAAGATCTATTACCTACAAAGATGAAGCCCTCATGATCACCAACACAAACATTGGTCCAAAAAACATGGAAGGTAAAGGTAAGAATCTAATGGTTGCGGTCCCAAAGTATGAAGAGGATGAGAGTAAGTATATTGTTGATGGTGTGATGAACTTGGGTTTAGACGATGGAAGGAAGATGCCATCATCGACGGCTGTGTCTACAACTTGTGCATCTGGATCAGCTTCTACTTCTGGTTATGCGTCTGGTTCTGGAAGTGGTGTAACTGTTGAGTTTGATGAGCCAATGACTGATAGTTGGATGGTGATGCATGGGTGCGATGAAGTTATGATGAATGAGATTGCTCTGCTCGAGATGATTAATCATGGCCATCTTTAAACCGTGATATAAAACAAGTTTATTAAACTTGATTGTATCTTGTCTATCTTTTATATTTATGCTTTCTATGAAATCAAATTTGTGCTTTACAATTAAACAGTTGAACATGTAATATATATCATGGTTTTATTAAAGTTTTTATGCTCTATAGATATATGTACTTCCAAACATCTTTCATTCTAACATGGAGTTATAATTATATATTGTCAATGTCTTCATCATATTATGGTTATATACAGTATTCAATTTTTTATTTTCCAATAAACCAAAATTTGTAATATTTTCAAAGAGCTTGTTATATCTTTTGTTTTTTTTCTATTAAAAAATCATACATATCTAATTTTTAAAAAATAACACTTTTTGGTATCTATATTCATTGACATTAATGATAATTTGACCAATTACATAGAAAAATGAAATCCCAATAAATTTTATATACTACTATATAAGTCTTCCAAATTTGTCATTCCTCCAAAAAAAAAAAAAAAAAAAAACTTTATATATAGGAAACTTATCTTAGCCTTAACCATAAATAGTAAAGAATATGTATTATGGGCTGGTAGATATTTATCCTCATAGAAATGTTTGTGATTTTAGGCCTATTTGAGTAAAATACACACGAAACGAAAACGACGCCGTTTCAAAGTTCCCACCTGTCCTTGTCTCCCACTCTGTGTTCTTCGATTTCTCCATTTCAGTGGGCCTTCGACACCGCCACTGGATAGTTCTGGAGATTTATACGAATCTCATAATCTTCAAAGTTTCAATTTGACTTCTCCATCACACACACACACACACACACAATTCACGTTACTTCTCAAGAACAAGAACAAGAACAAGAAGAGACTTATACATTACGTAAGTGTTAAGTATTGAAGCTACTTAATCCTGATATTAACATCTCTATATGTAAAATCAATTAAGCTACTTTTTAATTCATTTGCAGAGACGGGTCTGATCTGGTTTTCTCAAGTTCGGGTTTGATCCAATTGAGATTCGGATCTGAAGATCCGAATTATTCAGACGGATCAACTGAAGAAGAAGAAAGAATAAAAAATGAATCTTGAGAATGTTTTGGGATTGACCAGCTTTGAGTATTGGTTTAACTGGAGAGTGTTGCTTTGTGCGATATGGGTAATAACTCCAATGATTGTTTCTTTATTCGTGTTATGGAAGTACGAAGATAGTTCAGTACAAACTCAACCACCAGTCAATGGTGATGATGTTCTGTGCATTGATGATGCTTGGAGACCTTGTTTTAAGCAAATCCATCCGGGTTGGTTGTTGGGTTTCCGGGTTCTTGGGTTTTGCTTTCTTCTTGTTAACAACATTGTCCGTCTTGTTAATCGTGGATGGCGTATTTACTACTACTACACTCAGTGAGTTCTTTAAAAATCTCTCCTTTGTTATGTTGAAAGTGAAGATCTTTAATGTTTTGAGACTGGTTAAGATCGAGACTTATGAGATGTGTTGTTCTGTTTTGAATGGTAGGTGGACATTCACGTTGATAGCAATCTACTTTGGGGTATGTTTTGATTTCGATGATGTGTATAATGTATATGGTTATAGTCAAATAGAGTGATGATGAATGTGTGTGTTCTGTAGATAGGATCATTGCTTTCAGTTTATGGATGTTTTCAATACAAGAAGCAACGGAACATGGTTGATCAAGTAGGAAATGATGCAGAGATTGGGTTTCGTTCGCCTCTTATTAATGCGGACAAAATGGTTTCGTTCGAGAAGAGTGAAAGTTCTGATTCAAAGGCACTAAAGTCATGTGTCCATCTTTTCCAGATTATGTATCAGGTAGACACAATCTTTTGGATATGTATGGTTTTGAAATTTTCAGATTTCTGATAATTGCTTTAGTAGTATATTTTGTGATCACTGAAACTGGTTTGGTTGTTGAAAAATAGATGGGCGCTGGAGCAGCTGTGCTTACAGACAGTATATATTGGACTGTGATTTTCCCGTTTCTGTCTTTACAAGACTACGAGATGAGTTTCGTAAGTTTTCGTGCCAAATCTGTCAAGAAATAACCTTACCGTATAATAGTAAAATCGTGTGCACGGCTCACTGCACTTTCTATATTGCATAAGTTCTGAACTTAGACTCAAATTTTCTACTGCAAATCTGTGTTCCAGATGACTGTGAATTTGCACACGAGCAACCTCGTTTTGCTGCTTATCGACACATCTCTTAACCGTCTGGTAAAACATATTTTTCTTCTGCATATAAAGATGATACAACAAGTTCTCTTTTCCATTAATGTATCCACCTGAGGTCAATTTTGGTGTTGCTTTGCAGAAATTTCCCTTGTTCAGGTTCGGTTACTTCATCTTGTGGACAGGAAGTTTCGTCCTTTTCCAATGGCTTCTCCATGTTTTTATCTCCGTAGGGTAAGAACTCTTCTTCTCTATCATCTTCTATATATTACACTAAGTTTTTGATTTATCTTACACTTCTATTCCTCGATTGACTTAGGTGGCCATATCCATTTCTCAACTTGTCATTAGACATGGCTCCAGTGTGGTAAGCCTTCAAAACATTTACATACTAGATCAGTCACGATTGGTTTATTATATTTGCTACATCGAAATGCTTCATTCCTTTCACTGATTTCGCGTTCGACGATCCTTAATTCATTAATCTATGCACCTGTAGGTATTTGTTGGTAGCACTCCTGCATCTTCCTTCTTATGGCGTCTATGCGTTAATCGTAAAAATCAAATATATACTCATTACCTGAAGTGACTTCAAATTCAAGAGTCTTTGCCTCGTAAGAGTCAACTCCTCACTTCATTTCAAGGGTTAAATCAAAAGAAAGAAACAGAAATTTTTACCCTATATGTCTTTAAGAACTTCAGAACAGACCAATGTAATCACCACAGTTTTTCAGAACATTCCCAATCTTTTTTGTCGATAAATAAAATTCTTTATTGCCGATTCAAGTAGCCACCGTAGTAGCTGGTAAATCAAATGGTTCCTTTGTAGAGCCAAATCAAATGTTTTGTCAGCTTGCACTAGTGTTGTGAATCTTTGTTGGTTCCTTTGTTGAACAAAACCTATGATTAATGTGACAAACCAAAGGTACTAAAGGAAAAAAAAGTCAACAAAAGTCAAAAGTAAGATAACAAAGCAAACCAAATTCCAAACCCAACCCTAAACAAAAAAAAGAGAACCTTGACGCCGTTTCTTTACTTTATTCTCTCTCAAGTACTGTCTCCTTACTGTCACTGAGAAACAACAACATGGCCATGGCAACGAGGACTCTGAGCTTTGTTTTGCCTACGAGCTTATCCTCCCAGCCGTCACTCGATCGTCGCGGTGGATTTAGGGTTTCGGTCATCCGATGCTCTGCTTCTCCACTCACTTTTTCATCCTCTGGTAAAATTTTGCTTTTGGGAATGAATTGTACGGACTCTTGTCTCTAATTAGCTTCTTGAAATAGTTAAGGTCTTGAATAAAGGATAAAGATTGGATTTTTTTGGCGTTTGAGTGAAAGTGATGATTTTTATCTATTGTAGGTGTTGCCGAGAAACCTTGGATTTCGTACAATGCTAGGCTTGTGTTAGAAGACGGTTCCATCTGGCCGGCTAAGACCTTTGGTGCTCCAGGAACCCGTATTGCGGAATTGGTGTTTAACACTTCCTTGACTGGGTAAAGTTTTGTTGTTTCATTACATCATGGGAATCTCCAGAGTTTTGTACCAAAGATTGTTAATTTGAGAGCTTTACTGAATCTTCCATTTTGTTTGTCTGATGGAAGGTATCAAGAAATTCTAACTGATCCTAGTTACGCCGGGCAATTTGTGCTTATGACAAACCCACAAATTGGTAACACTGGTGTCAATCCCGGTAAGTGGCAAAGTTGTATATGAGGTTTAGGAGATTTTGTAAACTTATGTCCTTAATGTTTCTTATTGTATTTGTAATGTTTGTTCTAGATGATGAAGAATCTGGACAATGCTTTCTTACTGGTTTGGTGATAAGAAATCTCAGCATCAGGTAAGTGTCTATTTTGCTTGCTGGGGAACAAGCATCTTTATCTTCCTTTTTATCCTCTATTTGAAAGTCCCTAACTTTTTGAATCATAAAATTTTCAGTACCTCAAACTGGAGATGCACCAAAACACTTGCCGACTATCTAACTGAAAGGAACATCATGGGAGTTTGTAAGTTCCTTGTGTTCACTATACTATTTAGATTGTAGATGTTATAAAACTGGATCTCTGATTACTCTATTTTTGGACGTTTTTGTAAATACTGTCAGATGATCTTGACACTCGAGCAATAACCCGTCGCTTAAGAGAAGATGGTAGTCTTATCGGGGTTTTGAGTACAGAACAGTCCAAAACAGATGATGAACTTCTGCAAATGTCTCGTTCATGGGATATCGTAGGTCAGAAACCATTTCCTTTCTTATTTTTTTGCATTATAATATATATATATATATATAACCCTTGGAATATTGAAATCTTTCCGTCTGCTTGTTTGAATCTTGTAGGTATTGATCTAATAAGTGATGTTTCATGTAAATCTCCCTATGAATGGGTCGACAAAACAAACCCTGAATGGGATTTCAACACAAATTCACGTGATGGGAAATCCTACAGAGTGAGTATTATTACTTCTCTACTTCTTCTCTTATGGATACCCAGCACCAACTTCTTACTCTCTTTCTACACTTCTCTTGAATTCAAAGGTTATCGCTTATGATTTTGGAATCAAGCAAAACATCCTAAGACGCCTATCATCTTATGGGTGTCAAATCACTGTTGTTCCGTCTACATGGCCAGCTTCCGAGGCCCTGAATTTGAATCCAGATGGGATTTTGTTCAGCAACGGACCTGGAGACCCTTCTGCTGTGCCATATGCTGTTGAGACAGTTAAAGAGCTTCTCGGTAAAGTCCCTGTTTACGGAATCTGTATGGGTCATCAGTTGCTCGGCCAAGCTTTGGGTGGTAAAACCTTCAAGATGAAGTTTGGCCATCATGGTGGAAACCACCCAGTTCGTAACAACAGAACTGGCCAGGTGGAGATCAGTGCTCAGGTATATTCCCTAACATCTTATTCTTTTTAGCTTTTACTAATACCCACAACCTCAAAATGTTCCATTTTCCAAGCATGTTACTAACGAAAGATTTGAACTTTATCATCCAAAGTTTGGAACTTTAATTCGAATTCGGATAATTATCTAATAAACGATCATGCTAGGAACATTGTTACAAGTTTGATAAAATCTGAATCTGGTGAATCATTGTCTTTTTCTGTATTTCTTGGCAGAACCACAACTATGCGGTTGATCCAGCTTCACTTCCTGAAGGCGTAGAAGTGACGCATGTCAATCTGAATGACGGAAGCTGTGCAGGTCTATCTTTCCCGGCAATGAATGTCATGTCTCTCCAGTACCACCCTGAAGCCTCCCCTGGACCTCACGACTCTGATAACGGTAACTATCCTTTCTAATCTGAACTCGGTCAAAGACACTTATGCTTCAATTGTACTGAAGACTAATATGATTCTTTTGTCTGTGAATGCAGCATTTAAAGAGTTCATTGAGCTTATGAAGAGATCGAAACAGAGCTCATAAATCAATGGGAAGTAATCTTTGTTTTGTACTACTTGCTGTTTTAAATCATCACACTTGAATTATAATATCAACTGTTTTGTTAGTAACAACAATGGAGTTGCATTATTGTTTTCGTTGTGACTGTATTAAGGAACCATCCCACCTATTAAAAATAATTAAGAATTCGTAAAACTTTTTAAAAAATAAAAAGAGATGGTTCTAATATAGTTACGATTAATGGCCTTCTTATAATTAAATGTTATCATATTCCAAGAAGCTATAAGTAACAATAATACAACTGAACACTATCTTTGCATTTCCTGAGCCATTTTTTCACTGCTTCGTCATCACAAGAAAAGTTCATATCAATTTACTCACACAGAGCATTGAGCACTGAAACTGCATGTTGAGACTCTTAAGTTCATCCTGGTGGGAGTTTGTGGAAGTCAAGATTTAATGGTGAAAGCTTAGTTCTGATGCTTTGCAAATTGCAATCTCATTTTGTGGTAGTCGTTTAGCTGACAGCTTAGTTCCAAGTAGGCATGTCAATTAGGGCTAAAGCCCGCGGGCTAGTTTGGCCCGGCCCTGAAAAACATCGGGCTCGGGCTTAAATATATATGTCCAGAAAAAACCGGGCCTTTTGGGCTAAGCCCATTCGGGCTAAAGGGTTTTTTGGGCTTAGCCCGGTCGGGCTCGGGCCGACCCGAAAAGCCCTTATACAAATATATTTTGAATTTTTTGAATATTTTAGTTTGATTAAAAGATTTGATTAATGTTATAGTTTTCATATTTACTTACTAGTCTTACTTATTACTTTTAAAATATTTATACAAAGCTAAAACTAAATATATATAAGTATCATGATTTTGAAATCATCAAAATATCTATTAAATTTTGACTCTATGTTATACTTTAAAGTATTTTAGTTCCATGTTTTATTGGGTTAAAGTGTAAATAATTTATTTGGCTTTTATTTTTTTTTCTCTTAAATTAAGTTAGTTTTATTGAATATTGATAAGTTATTTAAAATTTGATGCATTATTTTAATAGTAGACCTTTAAATATAGTTTTTAAAAAACTATTATAAACTTAGAAATTGATTTTTTTATCGGTAAATAAAGCTCGAAAAAGCCCGAAAAGCCCTGTAGCCCTGTTAGGGCCGGGCCGGGCTTTGAAATATAGGCTCGGAAATTTTTCGGGCCGGGCCGGGCCGGGCTTACATATATGAGGGCTTTACGGGTTTCGAGCCGGGCCGGGCCGGGCTAGCCCGATTGACATGCCTAGTTCCAAGTCTTTCACCGAACTCAAACTCACTTAGGATTTGTTGTTATTCTCCTGACAATGTCCTAATTCATATTTTACGAGTTCTTGGTTTTCTTGTTTTATTCATTTCATCATTTGCATTTTTTTTTATTCACTATCACTTTCGTGTCAACACTCAAAGGTGATCATGTCATTCTAATTGTGATCCTTCTTATTTCCATAGAAAAAAAAACCACATCAACAAGCTCTGGAGCAACTGGACCAACAACATATGTCTCGAACTCGAAAGAGACATCAATCGTGGGTTTACAGAAATGTGCATATAGATATCAACCAATGATTTCTCTATTACCAAGACACTACAGTCACAATCACTAGACCAGTTCCAAAGGACAGAATACAAATAGTCTACTTCAACCTCTAGACGTTATTGCTTACTCCACCAAAAACTCAACACCTCTCTGCGGTTGCCAAAAGAAGAGCAACGGGGTTACATACCATTTACCATTCTCTTCATCTCGGCTGATCTCCTTGGATCAGGCTCTTCAATCGCTCTCTCTGTCAGCACATGCTTTATGCGGCACATTGATCTCCTCACCTACATTAAAATGCAAACAAAGTTGACATTTATAAACAACAACTAACCATTTGTTATCAAAACAATATGTTTCGGAAGGTTTGAGAGATGCATAAACCATTCTTTCATATTTCCTTCTCACAATATTCATCAATACGGCAAGAACTAAACTGAACTGAGACTTAAAATAAAGCCCGGGTAGTATCATTCATTCGTTACCTTAGGAATGCGTTCAGGGTTAGGAAACTGCATGTTCTGAGCTTGAAGCATCTGACGCTGAGTCATCAACATGTTTTTCTCTTTAAGAAGAACATACCACAGCTTCTGAAGATCATCCCATGACTTGAGACGCAGTTCCGAAGCTTTCCAACCTCGACCTAACACCACAAAATGTTCATATAATCCCATTAACAACACAAAAAAAATCCTTAATATACCAATACAAAAACTCCTTAATTCCAAATTTCTCATGTCATAAGAACATGTTCATAGCAGACTTCACTACAACTCTAAGCTACAATGGAATTACTTTACTTATTCACTGTACATTTCTATGAACAATCCACAAGTAGCTATACTAAGATCCAGAAAGAAGCTACCTCAACTCAGCTTTAATACCATATCACATTTGATAAGATCAGAGTATCATAGATTCATAGAAACTGAAGAAAAAATAAAGATTCCCAAAAATGAGAGGAAGGGAACAAGGGAGCGCACCATAGACAACTAAGTGAAGAAGACAATACAATTAGCAGACTTCACTACAACCCTAAGCTACAATGAAACTACTAAACTACTTCCTCACTCTACATTTCTATGAACAATCCACAATTACCTAAACTAAGATTTGGTAAAACAGAGAGAAGCAACCATACAACATTTTGATAAGATTAGAGTAATCATAGATTCATAGACAAGGGAGCGTACCATAGACAACAGGTTTATCTTCGTCTTGGCTTCTATCGAACTCAAAGAACTCTTCGAGAGGGTTTTGGGGAGTCCTAATGGCTGAGGCGGCGGCTGCTGCAGTAGTAGACTCCGATCTCGCCGATGCAGCCGCCAAGAATCTCCTCCCGAACGTTCGCGTAATAAACATTGTTTATCAACAAATCCTGCGAGTTAAGGTTTAAGATCATCAACAACAACAACAATAACCCAAAAATTAAGGTCTAAGATCCTTAATTAACCCGATTACTTCAACAACAACAATTACTTCAAGAGACCAATTCTATGATTGATTAAAATGGTGGCTCGATGATGAATGTAGAAGAAGCAAGCCGTGACCGTGAGTTTCGATTTTCAGAGAGAGTGAATGAGTCTGAATGGTGGTGACAACAAACAACGTACCCTAATTCTAAAAAATGTCTCGATGGAGACTTTTTTTTTTTTTTTTTTGCAATGAGATGAGGTTAGTTGGGCTTATGGGCTTTACTAAAAACATTTGGACATTTATATATACATACATGTTTTATAAACCTAAAGACCAAAACCCACCTGTAAACTAATTACCCGGATATCGGGTTTTATTTTTATTAACTATCCGGATCCGGATCCACCTGTACCGGTTACAATAAATAAGTGTGGTTTTGTAAGTTCTTACCATTTGGACAAACCGATCTAAACCAAACCAAACTCAACCAAAATAATTGAACTATAATTGAGACGCGGCGTTTTCAACATTGTGGCCAAATGCTGTGAATTTCTATTAGATTAACCCAAGAGATTTTTTAATTTTTCAAATAAACCCAAACTGCGTGACGTTTTTATCTGAGACGCAGCGTTTTCGGCCGTTAAAACCAATTTAGCTTCCAATCTCTTCTGAGAGATCGTTTCGTTGCTCTTCAAGTTTGGTCTCGCGCAAGCTTTTTAATGGTGATTTAACGGTGAGATTTTTGATTCTCTGTTCGATTTCGCTATTGTATTCGCTTTGATTCGTGATCGGTTTCAATGGAGATTACTTTTGCGACTTCCGACTTGTTTAGGTTTCCTTCGTCCCACGTTTTCTTTGAAACTTCGTTAGCGTAATCTGTTTACAAGTTTGAGTTTGGCGATCAGTTTTGAGATTTCAATCGGTGATCGGAGCAGATCTCCGATTGAATTTGTTGATCGTGGATGAACAATTTATCTTGTTGGTGTTTCTGATTGTGCCGATAGATTTATGAATCGATCGTTATCTAGAGTTAGGATTCTGATTTTACGCTATTGAAATTTTCAGATCGTCTAATTAGGATTTGGTCATGGATACACACACGCTCAAATCTGTCTCCGATTTGCCTGGAAATTTCCGTTCAGCTTTTAGTTTCAGGTGATATATCTCTGTAAACTTGGGATTTATTGTTGATGTACTAGTTATCGTGTTGTTTATTTTAGTACTCGCTTCAGAATTTGTATTATGCTTACTCAAGGAATGGTTTATATTTTAGGAACATCATGTTTTTTTTTCTAATACACTTTGCTTTGTGTTGCTTCTGGATCGTTTTGTGTTCAGATACTTCAACTCGCTGCAGAGCGAGTGTTTTCCACTTTGCTTTCACTCCGACATCAACATGGTCATTTCAGCACCAACGGGAAGTGGTAAAACTGTTCTTTTTGAACTATGCATTTTGAGGCTCCTCTCTAAGTCCATCTCTAAGGAAGGCAGGTTTCTTCATGCTAAAGGAGCTCTTAAAACAGTAAGCTTTTGTGCATTTTACTGAATGTTTGATTGATATGCCTTTGTTTTTACAACAACTATACCAATATTGGACTTGCTACTACCTAGAAGTTAAATAATGGTTTACCTATTGGTGTCAAGGTTTACATATCTCCGTCCAAGGCTTTAGTACAGGAGAAGCTGCGTGATTGGAATCAAAAGTTTAATTCATGGGGAATCAGTTGTTTGGAGCTGACAGGTGATAATGAAACGTACAGCACAAGGAATATACAAGACGCTGATATTATCTTGACTACACCCGAGGTCATATATCAATTTCTCTTTGGTGTCTGTATTTACTGTCTGGAATTGTTCATAACTTCTGGTAATGATATGATCTTTCATTCCGTATTTTCAGAAACTACATGCTTATATCTCCTCTAGTGTTGCTGTACTTACATGTTTTCTTGCAGAAATTTGATGCAGTGAGCCGTTATCGCGTTACCAGTGGAGGCTTAGGTTTCTTCGGTGATATTGCGCTTGTGCTCATTGATGAAGTTCACCTGCTGAATGATCCGCGTGGAGCTGCTCTTGAGGCAATAGTCAGTAGAATAAAGATTCTTTCTAGCAATCATGAACTAAGGTCAAGTCCTTTAGCCTCCGTGCGTCTTCTGGCTGTCTCAGCGACTATCCCAAACATTGAGGATCTAGGTCAGATTGAACCGCACAATATTCTGCAGATTGTACAATTTTTCTTTTTGCTTTTTTAACTTCGATTCGAAGTAAAAAATTACAACTAAAGTGGTAATACTTGTTCAATTATTGCAGCTGAGTGGCTCAATGTCCCTACCGCAGGAATTAAGAAGTAACTTATGGATTGCTTTTCAGAGAACTATTTCTTTATGTGGATAATTTTTTTTCAGTTTCATCATTGTTTCTCTTCCCATGTTGTACAGGTTTGGCGAAGAAATGAGACCTGTTAAGTTGACAACTAAAGTTTTTGGTACCTATCTCATCTCAAAAGTCAGCTGTTTCTTGTTTGGTTAAATGTTTAGATGATGAATTTGGTTAGCTGTTGATGACTTTCCTGTTTTCATGAATTGTAAACAAAATTTCACTGTCTTTTTGGTACAGGATATGCTGCAGCCAAGAATGACTTCCTCTTTGAAAAGGTATACAGTTTCTGCATCTTGGTTTAGATAGCCTTAGCCCCTCTTGTCAAATATTCCAACACAGAAACTAAATCAACTCTTGTTTTTCCTTTGTTTTATTCTCATATCCAGCGTCTCCAAAACTATATTTACGGTAAGCTGATATTATCATGATTAGGATTCTTCCGTTATCGCTCTCTTACTCAGGTTGTAACTTAGACCACTCGGGTGACGAATCCTTTAATTTTTCAGATATTTTAATGCAATACTCGAAAGGAAAATCTGCTTTGGTTTTCTGCTCGACACGAAAAGGCGCTCAAGAGGCTGCACAAAAGCTTGCTCAGACTGCACTGACCTATGGTTACTCAAATCCATTTATCAAAAGCAGAGAGCAGCTGGAACGATTAAGGGAGGCTTCGCCAATGTGCAGTGACAAACAAATGCAATCATATATCCTCCAAGGCGGTATGTTCTGTTTTACTCTTCTGAGTTTGTTGATTGTTCCTTTGCTTCAGCATTGTCTGCACACTGAATAGTACCAACGAAATGTCCCAATTAGTTGGGTATCACAATGGTGGACTTTGCCAAAAGGACCGCAGCCTCGTAGAAGGGCTCTTCCTTAATGGAGATATCCAAGTTATCTGCACGACCAACACTCTTGCCCATGGAATCAACCTACCTGCACATACAGTCGTCATAAAATCCACTCAACATTTGTACGTCTTTGCATAGATATGTCCATGAAGTATTTATTTTGAATTTAAGTTAATATTCCAGTAATCCACTGAATTTGTATTCCTTGAAGCAACAAAGAAAAAGGTCACTATATGGAATATGATCGTTCCACACTACTACAGGTAGATTATTCAAGCATGTATAGTTTTCTAAATGTTATATGGCAGTGTGATTAGCTGCACAAACTACTGGAATGTTCTCTAAATATATCTAACGGGATAAGTAATCTCTCCTTTCTAGATGTGTGGCAGGGCTGGTCGGCCTCCATTTGATGATACAGGAATGGTTATTATTATGACAAGAAGAGAGACGGTTATTTACTGAAACTTTTCTAATGGGGCTCAATCTCTTACTTTAGTTTTACTTTTCTCTTAAGTTTTCTGTTTGTAATTTATTTAAACGATTACAGGTCCATCTATATGAGAATCTATTGAATGGATGCGAGGTTGTTGAATCACAGTAAGTATTGCCCAATAAACTTCTTTTTTGGAACCCTTTGATTTCTTACACATTCTTTAAAACTATTTGTTGGCTTCAAGAAATATTCTTCTGTTTAATTTGTTCCAGATTGCTGCCATGCTTAATAGAGCACCTAACCGCAGAAATAGTTCAACTTACTATCTCTGACATTACAAGAGCAATCGAGTGGATGAAGTGCTCATATCTGTATGTCAGAATGAAAAAGGTACGTTCATATGCTCTCTCAATGATTTTTCGGGCAAATCATTGTCATATATGGTCTAGCTAACTCGAAGTTCATATGGACAGAATCCAGAGAATTATGCTATTAAGAAAGGAATTCCTAAAGACCGAGTGGAGAAGCATTTGCAAGGTGCCCTACTGGCTTAGTTAGTTTACTCATTTTTCCTTTTTTAGTTCTCATTTTTCCTATTTCCTACCAGAGCTTTGCCTTCAGAAGATCAATGAGCTTTCACGCTATCAGATGATCTGGACTGACACAGACGGTTTTGTTTTGAAACCAGAAGGTATTGAAATTTATGATTTTCTATCTTCGGTTTCAAAATATAATGCACTCGTTCTTTTGTATAGAGCCCGGGAGGCTGATGACAAAGTACTATCTAAAGTTTGACACAATGAAGTACATCATTAATGCGCCAACGAGCTATAGCTTGGATGAGGCTCTTCATATAGTATGCCGTGCTGAAGAGATATCTTGTATGTCAACTCTGTTTTGGTTCATAATATTTTTTTAACTTGATGAATGAACTAATTTATGTTTGTCTTGAAATGAAGGGATACAGCTCAGACGCAATGAGAAGAAGACCTTAAATGATGTAAATGCAGATAAAGAAGGGAGGCTCAGATTCCACATCAACGATAATAAAGGAAAGCGTAAAAAACGCATCCAAACCAGGGAAGAGAAACTATTTGTGCTTGCAAATGATTGGTTGACTGGAGACCCTTCAGTCCATGATTTATCCATGACTCAGGTCCTCCAACATTATATTCATGGCTACTTGGATCAGTTGATCACGGTCGTGTCTGAGCTCTGCATTTGAACATTAACATTTTTGTCTCAGGATGCTAATTCAATTTGCTCGAATGGATCCAGAATAGCCAGATGCATGAAAGAGTACTTTATATACAAAAAGAATTATAAAGGAACTCTTAGCTCAACTCTTCTAGCAAAATCACTCTATCAAAAGCTTTGGGACGACAGTCCATATTTGCTGAAACAATTACCTGGCATTGGAATGGTTACAGCAAAGGTTTAATCTCTATTTTCTCTTTACTCGTTCACTGCACTTTACATTTTCCAGATGCTTCAGTGATTTTTTTGTCTTGGTAGCTTTTGTCTGAATGCCTTCTTTTGCTAGGCACTTTATTCTATGGGAGTCAGGTCATTTGAAGCTCTTGCTGAAGCTGATCCGCGAAGGATTGAGATTGTTACCGGTCGAAAATATCCTTTCGGAAATACCATTAAGGAGTCTCTATCATCCCTACCTCCAAAAGTTGAAATCAAGGTCGAGGAGGTTGACTGCCAGAAGCAAGGGATATCTAAACTAGCAGTCACATTGACACGGCTATCACAACCTCTCCAATCCACAAAACGCCATTATGCTGACATGGTTAGTTTCCTTACCTTTCTGCATTTGATGTTCTTATCTCTACTTCTCTGCATAGTCTTTTGATTCGCTCATGAGAAAAAGAGAAGTACTAGATTAGCTTCTAATTTGTATCTCTTCTGACAGATTGTTGGTTCAGAGGAAGAGAATCTTATCCACTTTCATGAGAAAATAAGGTGATGAGCACTTAACCAATGATAAACCATAATTTCTACTATTACAACATTCCTGTGTTTCACATAATCCTCTTTTAAGACATTCAAGTAAATGTAACTAATCAGTGATATTTTAATGGCAGCAGAATGGAAGACTTCTCCAGGTATGTTTACCTGCGGGTCACTCCATCATCATTATCCCGAATCCCGATGCACAAATTCGTCCAACTTTATCTAAGATTTGCAATACTTCATTTCTTTTTTTTGTTTCCTTCTTCTAGTCCCTATAGCGTAACCTTACTCCTCGAAAGGCCTCATCAACAAGCAAAGGTGACTGTAAAGGCTGATCTCATCTTTGAAGAATACAGTTAAGTCTAATAAATAGTACCTCTGGGTTGATAGCAAAACCTGATGACCATGTAGGCAGTGAGACACTGAAACATAAAATTACTGACCAAGTGTGTTTATATCTGGGCTTTTGTTATTGTAGTTGGTCTTGACCTCCATGAAACACTTCTACTGAAGAAGTCAGACAACAGCAAAATAAATTACAAAAGCGAAAACAGGCTGCCTTACTATTATCCTCCTATGGTAGATGCCTGCATAGTAGATGATGACATCCCAGCTACATCTGGAACTTCAAACCGAAAGGATAAAAAAGATGATATGTGAGTACATTTTATATACTTTCCTGCTCAAAAAATGTCTTATTATCAATTTTCTTTTCAGTCTCATATATACATAAGTTCTTCATGATTACAACATTCTCCTCAACTGCTTAATTTCCTTCTTCAGGCCTAGTTTCAAGCTCATAGATGAGGATTCAGAAGAAGGTTATAGATTCCTCAACATTCTGTTACAAGCTTTTTCTTTTGTGTGCTTTGCATGCCATTTACCATTTTTCTAAACTCAAAGTTCTTTGCAGAGAAAGAGCCCTATGTGACGATGGAAGAAGATGACTGTGTCATTATCAATGAACATACAGTCTTTGACCACATACGTGAAAAAGCAAAGTGTTTTCCGTCATTGAACACTTTGAATCCAACCTCTCCAGTATCAGGAAAATCAACTCTGAAGAGGAAAAGCTTATTGGAGAATTCTCCTGAACTGGATCCACTATTTCAGTATGATTCTGTGTTTGACTTACCAACAAATACTAAAGACATCAAACAGAGCGCACAGCAAATTACTAGCCCGGGGTATGCAAGCTTTGCAGACAAAACTGGTGCGTATATCTGCTTCATTCATAATGAAGTTCTATTCTGCATTTAAACACCTTTGCTTAAAGTCTATCTGTTACATCCCATGAATCTGGCAGAAACAGAAAGACCATTCTCAGATGAAAAAATATTCAACTACATAAGGAAAAGGTCCAAGAATTCCCCTGTCCTCGCCACATCAAAACTCGAGGATCCTAAAACTATTTCTTCTCAAGAAGGAAGAAACGCAGAGATAAGTCCGTATAGAACATACGGCTTATTGGTTAGTCCTGCTACTAAAAGGTCAAGTATCACTTCTGATGCACCTTCAGAGATTCTGTCCTTTGACATCTCGATGGTAAAGAGAAGTGTGAGCTTAGAGCAGAATAAAGGATTCTGCTCGACACTTGCAGGTAAGTCCAATGACTCTGATTCTTTTCTTGGATTTAAAAGCATTTTCTCTTTTCTGTGACTTTCTCATATACATACCAAAACAAAAACTCATTGTTGGTGAGTCTCTAAGCTCCTAGAGAGCACATGGTAATTACTAATGACAGTGATAAAGATAAAACGGATAATCAGGACAAAAGTTAGTTTCTTCTGTTTATGAAACAAAAACTAGTAAAACAAGAGAAATCATTAATGTTTATGAAACAAAAACTAGTAAAAGAAGATAAATAATTAAAACTTATTCGAACGAAGATCCGCTTGAACCACAAGGGGAAGAAGCACAAAACTCAGCAGCTTGTTCTATTCCCATTGATCTGTAAGGTGCAATGTTATGGATTCCAACTTGGATTGGACCTAACAAATCATTTTCAATGCACTCATACATTTTCTTGCATAGTGTATCAACCAAAGCACACAATTGGATGAGTTGATGCTTCATATTTGTTACTTTCTCATGATCATACTCATCAAAAGGCTCTTCTAAGATCTTGGATAGTTTCTCAACATTACCTTCAAGTTGCTGCTGCTGATCTTCAAACAGGTTCTTCTTCATATCTCTCTCTTCATCGCTCATATCATCTTCGAACAATTCTTCGCCAAACATGTAGAACGCGAAAGGATAAGAATACGAAAGAATCCGTCGTGATCTGAATAACCGGTTGACTGCATCTGTAATCCAACTGTATTCTTTAAACACGCTTTGATCCTTGGTTTCAGAATTTAACACTGCCTTCTCCAGGATACTCTTCCTAAGTTTATCCTCTAGCTTTGATGAATCGGTATGTGCTTTGTATCGGTAATGGTAATGTGTATACCTGTTTAAATCCCTTTTGGCTCTCTCCATTTGCCTCACGTTGTCATCGTTGTACCGACCACAACTATGACCTGCAATACTCTTGAAACTATGATCTCTTCCAGTAGCTCCACCACACAGCCAGCAAAAATACTGCCCACAAATACAAGTCATGTGATTGCACCCATCCCTCTTTTGAACAGGTTTGCTACATTTTGGACACAGCTTCGTGTGAACAGTGATCCAATTCACAGTCTCAGACTCGTCTGCACATTTTTTAGTCCATAGCTTCCACATTAAACAAGAGCAAGGAGAGTGAGACTCACTCAGACAACTGAAACAGAACTGAAGTCCACATAAACATTCGACCTCGCCATCATCATCTTTGATTTTTTGGATGGCATTCCCGCAATGAGGTGTGCTTGGACACCACTTCACCATCTTGTTATCTTCTACATACGACTCAACGAGGAAACGATCAAACTTCTCAGCTAACTCCGGACTAACCAGTCTCCTAACAACATCCTCGTCGCAAATCGTGTTGCATTTATGAGCCATACATCTAATCCTTTTGCTCTCACCTTCATTAATCTTCACTGTATAGTGTCCCTTCCAACAATCATTACAAAACCTATGACCACACTCCATTCTTGTCATCGCATATTTTGATAAATCCTCATCCATGCAGATATCGCACTTCATCATCTTCTTAGTCTTCTTCACCCTCCTCGTCTTCTCCTTCTCCTTCTTCCCTGTCCTCGTCTTCTCCTTCTTCTTCTTCCCTGTCCTCGTCTTCTCCTTCTTCTTCCTCTTCTTCGACTTAACCAAACAAGGAGCAAAAGCAGTAAGACCAGCACAAGAAAACAATCGATCTTTGCCTTGATCAGCAAACACAGAGAACAACTTATCAACGTCCCATTGGTAATAAATAAGAAGAGTCCTCGCTTGGTTCTCCTTAACCGATAACAATTCCATAACCCTAACCAAAACCTCCTTCTGTGCTGCTACAAGTGCTTCCTTCGTAATCACCAGGCTCGTAGGTTTCTTCGACTGTAGCAAACTGGACTCTTCCTCGTTGGAAAACTCCGGATCTTGGTCATCAGAGGAGTAACAGTAATCAGAATCTTCATCCATTGTTCAAAACAATTAAGAGACGATCAAGAGCAAAAAGATGAACCAAGAGAGAAAGAGTGAAGACGATGAAGTTGAGACGACAAGTTTATAGAGACCTTGCTTTTATAGAGAACTGTTACTTCGGATTCAATAACGCAAAACTTTATGGCAGCATAGTTCCTTTTTATAGATGAAATTTACCTATTTCCCTTTTTCTAATTGAACTAAGGATTTCCTTATTTTAAAATTTTCTATTATTATTTGTAATTTTGACTATCCTTAATTATATTCCTTGGACACTTTCTATTTTTCTTTTACTAAAAATGTAAACATGGAACATAATTATATTTTCTTATTGAATAAAAAAAAAGGAAGATATAGATGTAACGTAGTTATCAAATATCATAATCACTTAGTTTTTTTTTTTCTAAAAGTAAAAATCACAATTTAGAGACTATTCGCGTAGTCGCTGAACTGGATGGTTAAAGTTGTGTATAAAGAGTATGATGGTATAATTTAATGTCTTGTTATATTTTAGGGGGGTTATTTTTTGTTGGAGCTTTTTTAGAATTTTTAAATCTGCACCTTTGAATTCAGTTTGTAAAAATAATTTGTATTGTGGAGTATTGTTTACGATTGTTATTTGGAATTTGCCTCGATCTCTACTCCAAAATTTTATATATCTAGAGGAGGCTGATCTATGTTAGTAAAAGTAAAAAATATATATATTTTATATTTTAAAAAAATATTATGTAATTTTTATTATGAGTTCATTGTATATATTTTACATCATATATATATATATATATTTAAAATCATATTAATTTTTAATTTCTGTTATGGAATCTGAATATAATATATATAGATATTTAGGGGATATCCGAAAATAATATATATTGATATTTAGGAGTATAAGTTATAGATTCGGATCCGAATAATTAAAACTCGGCCCGTTCCACCTTCAATAACATATTTGTAATATAATTATTTTGTAAGTACAGGTTTATATTATTCTGTTTTCTTTTTTCAACAACATCATAACCTTTTTATTGGGACCTTGAAGTCTTGAACCATTGTACCTCCTGCCCTATACTATGAACTAGCTAAGCCACCTTGCAAGTCCGATGGCTACAAATTAAACAAATTTAAGGTAACTAGGTAAAGTATTTAACAGTGAGTTGTAATGGTTTAGAGATTGGTTAATCTGCATCATATCCTCCTAAAACGATTAATAAACAACCAAATTAAGAAGAGCCAACAATAACGAAGTAACCAAAATAGTTTTCGATTCTAGGGTACATCATCTGTGTATGAAACAAAGCTGAAAAGTAAACAAATAAACTATGATAAATTAAAATAAAAATAAAACTTCTCTCATATTCTATGAAGAACCACTTGAACCACACTTAAGAAGAAGATTTGCAGATGTCAGCACAAAACTCAGTAGCTTGTTCTATTCCCTTTGACCTGTAAGGTGCAATGTTATGGTTTCCAAATTGTATTGGACCCAAAAGTTCATTCTCAATACACTCATACATTTGCTTGCATATGTTATCAACCAAAGCACTCAAGTTGTTGAGTTGTCTCCTCATGTCCACTGCTTTCATAAACTCGTACTCATCAAAAGGCTCTTCCAAAACCTTGGAAAGCCTCTCAACGTTACATTCAAGTTGCTGCTGCTGATCCTCGAACAGATTCTTCTTTATCTCTCTCTCTTTATCACTCATCTCATCTTTAAACAGCTCTTCACCAAACATGTAGTACGCGAAAACATACGAATACGAAAGGATCCTTCTTGATCTGAATAGCCTGTTGACTCCATCTGTAACCCAAATGTAGTTTGTAAACACTTCTTCACTCTTCCTTTCTGAATTCAACACTGCCTTTTCGAGTACATTCTTCCTAAGTTTATCCTCTAGCTTCAATGAATCGGTATGTGCTTTGTAACGGTAATGGTAATGAGTGTACCTGTCTAAATCCCTTTTGGCTCTCTCCATTTGCCTTACTTTGTCATCTTTGTACCGACCACAGCTATGACCATCGATGGTCGTCCAAGTATGGCTGACTCCAGTAGCTTCACCACAAAGCCAACAAAAATGCTGCCCACATTTACAAGTCATGAGATTGCAACCTTCACTTTTTGAAATAGGTTTGGTACATTTAGGACAGAGCTTAGTGTTAACTGTTATCCAATTAACAGTCTCAGACTCATCTGCACATTTTTTAGTCCATAGCTTCCACATCAAACAAGAGCAAGGAGAGTGAGACTCACTAAGACAACTGAAACAGAACTGAAGTCCACATAAACATTCAACCTCGCCATCATCATCTTTGATTTTTCGAATGGCATTACCGCAATGCGGTGTGCTTGGACACCACTTCACCATCCTGTTATCTTCCACATACGACTCAATGAGGAAACGTTCAAACTTCTTAGCCAACTCAGGACTAACCAGTCTCCTAACAACATCCTCGTCGCAAATCGCGTTACATTTATGAGCCATACACTTAATCCTTTTGCTCTCACCTTCATTGATCCTAACAATAAAATGCTCTTTCCAACAACCATTACAAAAGCTATGACCACACTCCATTCTAGTCATCACATCACTTGGTAAATCATCTTCCATGCATATATCACAACAGTTCATCACCATCATCCTAGTCGAACTAACCAAACAAGGATCAAAAGCAGTAAGACCAGCACAAGAAAACAAACGATCTTTGCCTTGATCAGCAAACAGACAGAACAACTTATCAACGTCCCATTGGTAATAAATAAGAAGGGTCCTCGCTTGGTTCTCCTTAACCGATAACAATTCCATAACCCTAACCAAAACTTGCTTCTGTGCTGCTACAAGTGCTTCCTTCGTGATCACTTGGCTCGTAGGTGCTTCTTCCTTCGTGATCACCTGACCAACGTCCTCGGAGTAATGATCATCATAATCATAATCCACTTCCTCGTTCTCCTCCTCCTCCTCGTAGCTCAGATATTCGTCATCCATGGATATCAACAAAGAGAGATCAGAGAAGAGTAAATCTTGTTTGAAGGAGACGATCAAGAACTAGAAGATTAGATCTATCAAAGAGATAGCGAAGAAGAAGATTGGAGATGAAACGTCTCTTAGATAGAGGTAGGCGAGAGATCTTGAGAATAATAAAAACGCAAAACTTTAGGGCAGTATTGTTGCTTTGATTTCTTATAGTTGAAGTAAATCTTTTTTATAATTAAAGGAAAATATCTCTATTCCTTAAATCTTTTATTGAATTAAATCTTAAATCTACCCTTTTCCTTATTTTATTGAATCCCTACGTATTATCTTTTTTTTTTTGTCAACAATCCCTATGTATCTGTAATTTTATTAAATTAAAATAACAATATTATTTTCCTTTATTTCTTGTACTAAAAAGTAAAACCTGTAAATATGGAAAAAAAAAATGTTAGGTTTCTCTTCTGTTAGGTTTTTTTTTTGATGAGTAAACAACTGTAAATCAGAGTTTAATGTTGCGATATTTTCTGATGTTAATGTCATATGCATCTTTGATGATGATCTTGAATCTATGATTGTAAAGATTATCATAATCCATACAAAATTATGTTTTTTGATATGAGAAAAATGTTTCTAAATTACAAATAACATGTGATTGATTAGTCAAATAACAAATAAAATGTTGTTTATCTAGTTTTTTTGACATAGTTTATTTTTAATAGAGTCAATTATATGTTTTTTGTACGTTCATTTTGACGTAATTTCTTTAGCTACTAAAATTGTTTACCAACAAAACTTTTGAGTGAAAAATTATGAACAAATTACTCGATTGCAATGATTTTATGACCAATCGTTAAAAAAATCAAAGAGATTTAATTTAACATTATAGAAAGAGAAAAATATGATTTTGTTAAAATGATTATCAACCTGTTGGAATCGGATTTATGATTTCATAGTTACAACATTTAGAATAAGAATACAAATAATTTTTGAATTTTAAATTATATAAACACTTTGAATGTTTAAATTTTATAAGTTTTGTATCAAAACAGAATAATGAAAAACAATTGGACCGTTCTGTAAAATTCACAAACTCTTCTGAAAAATTCTGGAATGTCGTCCGCGAACAATCTCCGTCGCGGATTCATTGAACTCCCTCCATCACTAATATGTTTCCTCGCTCGAGTTTGTAGCAGTAAATGACTAATCTAGTGTTGTTTTGTAAAAAATAGACATCTTCTTAGCCCAAGAAAAAAGAAACAAGACATCTTCCAAAATTAAAGATATAAGTTCTATGACATTATATATAGAGTAAAATATCTATACACTAATATTCAAAACGTTAATATGATTATAAATTAATAATACACATGGCTTGAAACTTAAATTATATAAGTTTTGTATCAATACAGAATTATGAAAAAAAATTTGGGCCATTATGTAAAATTCACAAACTCTTGAGGTAGCAAACTAGCAATAAAAAAATTTCCAGTCTTCTCTTCGCATTGCCTTTGTTTATACTCGCAATTTTATTTTTGTTAACAAAAAGGCCCCTCTCTCTCTCCTCTCTCTCTCTACCCTCTCTCTCAGCTTAATTCCACAGCTCCTTCAAACCCTAACGCCGAGACCAGTAGCTATCAACGACGTTGATTCTCCGAGCAATTCCGGAACGTCGTCGGCGAACAATCTCCGTCGCGGATTTATTAGTCTTCATTGAAGATCTCTCCCTCCGTCACTAATTTGTGTTTTCTTCGCTCCAGTTTCTTCCCCAAATGTTCCATCCATTGCTTTTGATTTAGGTTTTCGTCGTCGTGTTAGCCTGAATCCGATTTGTTGGTCTGTGAAGAAGAGCGAACAGAGTCATCGATTGTTCCCGGAGATTAACCTGTAAGATTTATTTTCCCGTTTTCTTAAATTTTTTTAAGCTCGCTAGGTTCGATTAAACCCTAAGTTTGTTATGCTTGTTGTTGTTAGTAGCTTAGTATTCTGGAGTTATCTTAGTTTGTTAGTGTAAATCGAGTTATTGTGGGAATTTTGAGCTTAATCGATTGTATAGGCGAAGCATGAAACTGTGATCTCGAGAGAGATAATTGTTTTGTTGCTTAGTAATCACTAAGGGGAAGCTGAGATATAAGTATTTTTGAGGATTGATTGCTATTTAGATCGTTTAGGGTTTCGTTTTGGTGTATTACTCTTTGTTTGTTGTGCAATCATCTGATGGTGGATACTAAATTGTATCAGAGTTTTGTATGAAGAGATAAGAAGCTCTGCATTAGTGAAGTTTATTTATGGAACTTCCTGTTTCCTCTCAAAAGCAAAGTGTGTTATCTCCACCCGAGTGTATGAGTGATCCTGAGGAGGAGCATGAGATCAGCGAGGAGGAGGATGATGATCGCAACCATAAGCACCGTAGGAAAGAAGAGACAAGGTCTCAATCCTTGGAACAAGGTTCTTCAGATCAGGGTTTCTCACGGCCGTACAGGAAAAATTATAGACATTATGAAAATGGCAATTCGTTTAGTGAACAAGATAAGCGGTCTTTTGGGGCAGGATCAGGGCAACGTGTACAGTTTGATAATCAAAGAATGAGGTCGAACCAAATGTTTTCAAGGGACTCTGGTCCTGGTAGAGGTAGAGGAAACTATGGTTCTTGGGCTCAGCGTGATTCCAGGTTTAACCCTGTTGATCTCTCATCGCATATGGTTCAAGTCGGGTCTATGGCCCCCAATATGTTTGGAGGAAGGGGACTAGCTGGTGTTTCAGCTGCTCAAGGTGCACCATGGCCTGCTTTTGGAATGATTCCTGGAGTTCCAAATGGTGGCTTGGATGCTTTTCATCACTTACAAGGTTCCCTAAGACCTCCCTTAAATGCTCCACTCAACATGGGTATTCCTCGGCAGCGATGCAGAGACTTTGAGGAACGTGGTTTCTGCCTCAGAGGGGACATGTGTCCAATGGAGCATGGGATAAATCGTATTGTTGTTGATGATGTTCAGGTATGTTTTCTTGAAATAAGTTTCCCTTCAGTGGAATTAGATTTATGTAGGAAAACACAATAGAATCTAGAGGGTTTACTGGATATTTGATAGCTATTTACATGATCCTCCACTGAGCTGGAAATTCAGCACATCAATGTTTCTTGCATATGTTGCTAGTAGTATGACCACTTTACTCCCTTCAACCGTAATTCTCAGTGATGTTAAATTTAAGAATTCTTAATGTGTTCAGCACTAGCTTTACCTGGCATGACTCTCAGAACCAGCCAAACTCTAATTTGATTTTTGGGTGTATCTTAATGATATCTTGGTTGTTGAATCGCAAATACATTGTCTTGCATAAAAGAATTCGTATCTACCATTTTTTTTAACTAAACTAATTCTTCTTCATTTTCCATTTGTGCAGAGTCTATCACAGTTTAACCTGCCTGTTTCAGTCCCTGCTGCTCCTCATCTGGCAGCTTCTTCTAAACCGGTACCTGCTCAGTTTGGGGCTGCCAGTTTCATGAATCCCAAAGGAGCTCATGGGAGAATTAATGAGGGTGGATTGACTGTTGATAATTTGGCTTTTGGGGATGTATATCCTAGTGGTGGTGGAACTGACTTTTACGATCCTGATCAACCTTTATGGAATAACAGTGCTGGTGAAACTTCAGGTGCAATATCTACACAAAACTCTCATGGGATTGATGAGAATCTAGCTCCGCTGGATGACAATAACCAAGATGGCACTGAAAATGGATGTGGTATTCGAGACTCTAGAAGCATAAGTCAGTCAGTTTGGGGAAGAATGCGTGGTTCTAATAGTCAAGCAAATTCCAAAGAGAAAGTTGATGCAGTATTAAATTCATCTGCTGGTCTTGAAGATCAATTAAAGGAGGTCTCAGTTAATATATCCCGACATGGTAAACAAAATTATGTTGGTGAAAGTGTCACAAAAGTTGTGGATTCATCAAATACTTCAAATGATGCGATGAACAATACTAGGAAATCAACTCAAAAGGCAATGCGGACTTTATTTGTGAATAATGTTCCCCACGAGAGCAACAGAAGGGACCTCATTCTTTCCCATTTTCAGAAGTTTGGTAAAGTTATTGACATTCACATCCCATTAAATACTGAGCGAGCATTTGTACAATTCTCAAAACGTGAAGAAGCTGAATCTGCTCTCAGGGCACCTGATGCTGTGATGGGTAACCGCTTTATCAAACTTTGGTGGGCAAATAGAGATAGTATACCTGATAATGGCCTGTCCACTGGCAATGGTGCTTCTATGAAGGGTCGTGGTATGGCTGCTTCTGGAGGGCAGAACCAACTTCCAATTGCTGCAGCATCGAAAAGCAACCATGTCAATTCTATGGCAAAGGGTCCTGCCTTTCACACTGGTGGAGTTCCATCCTCGGAACAGTCTAAGCCTGTGGTGGCTACTAATGGTCCCAAGGTTACGCTGCTTCAGCAGAAAAAAGCAGCCACTCTTGAGCAGTTGAAGGAGACACTTCGGATAAAACAGGAAATGCTGGATCAGAAGCGTAATGAGTATCGCAAAAAATTGGCCACCTTTGAAAAACAAGTAAGACCAAGTAACAAAATCTCTTTCCATTTTTTCGTAAATCCTGGTTACAATTTAGCAATCACTAGCAAGGTAAGCAGAAGTAGAAGTTAGGATTCTGCGAATTTGAATCTCAGAAGTGTCTTTAAGAAATTAAAGAAGTGTTCAATGCTAGAAAAGTGCTAGCATGATTTCTGATTATAATATACCATTGAGTTCGTTTCACAGATATTTGACTACTCATATGTGTGTCGTGATATATTTAGCTTTGTTGATGATGTCTTCAGCTAATGACCCTCTCTTACCCAGCATCACATAGATAAAAATAAAATTATTTACTTGGACAACATTCATATCATCTTGCTATCTTCTCAGGGTACGGTTGTCAAAGGTGAGGAAGCAGATGAACCAGATGCTAAGCGCGTTAAAGTAGACACAGCCTCTGATTCTGGTGCTGCAATTGCATCACCAAAAACAGAGTCATCTACAGATAAGAGAGTGCCTATCCAGAAACCACTTTCCACTTGCAAACTAAGCACAGAATCTTCATCGCCCGATTCAAAAAACCTGAAGCAAAGACCTTATTCTTTTACGACAAGTTTGAACGCTCCTATGGCAAATAGGTATAAGTTGGATAACCGCACCACGACCATCAAAGTGGTACCTCCTTTGCCAACTGGGTTAGCCGATGTATGTCCCTTTTCCTTTGCTCTTCTCTATAAATGTGCTAAACTTTCTAACTTTCCTATATAAATACTACCAAATTCCACTGGGACTATTAACTTACTTACTGATGCTTTGAACTATTTTTTACTTCCAGGTTGCTGTCTTAAAGGAACATTTTTCTTCTTATGGCGAAGTCTCAAAAGTGGAACTGGAAGACAATGCATCGATTGATAAGGGCAAGGACCATGAAACACATAACGAAAACCGTGCAGCTTGTGTCACATTTGTGAAACGCAACGCAGCCGAGAAAGCATTAGCTAATGCAAAGTGTTGGCAAGAACACATGTTGCAGCTTGTTTGGGTAACACGTCAAAGCAATCGAGAAAGCAATAATAACAACAACAACAACAACAACAACAATAGTAATAGTGTCTCTGTTTCACGTGACCTCCATAGCAGCAAAGACAAGTGCGCTTCTGTCTCTAATGACCCAAAACCAGCAGATGAAGTCAAGGCCTCCTCTACGGAAGAACCAGAAAAGACAAGTGTTTCTGGGGACAACGACAGTACTTTGGATAAACAAGAGACCAAAGAAAGCAACAACGATAACAATAAAAGTAACCACGAGTCCATCGAAGGAGCTTCTTCTGAGGTGATTGCATCTACAGGAACTGATTTAGATCAGTCTGAACAAATTCGTGAGTGAGGTAAACCCTTTTTGTCTCAGAAACATATCTTTTGATCTTGGGATCTCGTATTAGTGATCTTTTTCTCCGTTTTGGGCTATTTTTAGCCAAATTCGTGAGACGTTAATATTTGTTGGTAGCAAAAGATATATATATATCTAAAGTAATTTTATTTTTTCCTTTGTTTTTTCGAAAATAGAATGTGAAAAAAGAAAAGAAAGAAAAGAGAAGACAGAAAAAAAAAAGTGTATTGTTACATTTGGCCTTCCAAGAACATTTGGTTGGGTCTTTGTATCAGATCAGATCTATGTTTTGTTTTCCCTTTGTTCCCAGTTATTTAGCTCTGTTATAACAATTTCGATTCTGTTGTATATAGTTTTTTTGAACATTTTGATTCCTTAGTCATTTCAATCTAATGGAGGAGAAATTTGGTGCGCAAGCCATTTTGAAATTTATATGCAATGTTGAGTAGATTTGTATTTTTTTTTCTTTCAATTTTAACATTTATAAAGGAACAGTTATAAAAAAATTCAATATTTGTAAATAATTTTATGCATCTGAAGCATGTACAACTTCCTTGGTTCGAAGTTCGAACAGTGGCAAAGCAAAGAATATGGAACCAACATATCATATATAGAGACACCTTAATACATTGATAGATGTTGAAGCTTTACATAAATGATCTCGTCAAACTCTATTTTCCGGGGACGAAGTTGGTGGCGAAAGCCCAAGCATTGTTAGCCACAGGGTCTGCGATATGGTCGAACAGGTTCTCGATCGGACCTTTACCAGTAACAATGGCTTGCACAAAGAATCCAAACATTGAGAACATTGCAAGACGACCGTTCTTGAGCTCCTTTACCTTCAATTCCGAGAATGCCTCTGGATCCTCTGCTAAGTTCAATGGGTCAAAAGCACCACCGGGGTAAAGCGGGTCAAGACCTTCACCAAGAGGACCACCTCCGATTCTGTATCCTTCAATGAATCCCATTAAAACAACTTGACATGCCCATATAGCTAATATGCTTTGCGCGTGGATCAAGTTAGGGTTTCCGAGGTAGTCAAGCCCTCCTTCCGAGAAGATCTGAGATCCTGCCTTGAACCACACGGCTTCACCGAATTTGACTCCGTTTTTGGAGAGAATTTCAGGGAAGGTGCAACCTAAAGCGCCCAACATTGCCCATCTACTGTGGATAACTTCGAGCTCACGGTTCTTGGCGAATGTTTCAGGATCGGCTGAGAGACCGGCGGTGTCCCAGCCGTAGTCTCCAGGGTATTCTCCGGTTAGGTATGATGGTGTGTTTTCCGAGAATGGTCCTAGGTATTTGGGACGGTCTGGTCCATACCTGTCACAAAGTTTTTGTTGTTAGATAGTTGTTTCGGTGGATTAGCTATACCAAAAATGAAGAAAGAAAAATTTATGAGTCGTTTAGTCGGATTAAAACCAATGTAATCTAATCCATAAAGCCAAACTGAACGTACCAATCGAAAAACATAACCAAATTTAAGAAAGAGTAGACATAACTCAACGAAAGTTTATTGTTTCCGTTTAATGAAAATACGAATCTTGAACTAAAACCATTATTAATCTTTACTAGATTCAGTTTTCAATGTTTACTATTCTGTTAAAACCAAAAATCTCAAAAAGAAACAAAGATTAGGGTTGAAACCAGATGCTCTGAGGTGTAGACTTGACGGTACGACGCATGACAATGCGAGCACCACCGTTGGAAGCTCCAACTTTGCGGAGGAGATCGTTGGATGGCTTTAGAGTCGTTTGGCCAGCGAAAGAAGAGTGTTGGATTGCTGAAGTGGCCATTGCTTCTTCTAAACAAGAACACTAAAGCAAAAGAAGTAGTAATAAGTGAGATGATAATGTTGTTGGTGTTATGTTTGTGAATTGGGGACTTCGTTTTTTATAAATAGAGTGTTCATTTTTGTGGGAAGATTAGCAAATAGACATGTCAGCGAGTTTTGATTGGTTGGTTTTAGATTTTCCACAAACTCAATTTTACGTGCAGGAGATATGTAGAGGTTATGGTTGTAGCCATGTGGCAAGGGAAGATCTTGTGGGGTGAACGAAATATATGAAAAACCCAAAGAGGATAGTGTTCTCATGCTATCTTGCATATTGGTCATGCCCTATTGGCTATGCTTGCGATTGCGGTGATAACAACAGTTACACTTACATATATTCTCCAAAACAAAGATTAATTTGTAGTTTTAAAATCCAATCAACTCCAATTTAAGAATGCATAACCCTTAATTAGTTTCTTAAATAGCTTTTTAAGTAAGTAGATATCATAAACATATATAGGCCTATTTAATTTGTAGTAAAAAGAAATAACATATATAAATGCTTGATATTAACTTTCATTTTTTTGTTTTTTTTACGTAAATATTAACCAATATAGCCCATCTCGACATTAACTAGTAACTACAATATAAAAATTCGATAATATTTAAAGTACACATATAATCATATATGGGTAACACCAACCCCCCCTCCCCCCCCATAACAAATATTCTCAAAATTCAAAGTATACATGATTGGTGACTCCAAAATCTTGCAAAGAAAAGACTAAACCAAGACCGGTGTTTATTAGTAATGTACCTTAACTAATTCCAAAAGCTAACTCAAAGGAGAATGATTGTCACATCACATATATATTACCCAAGAATCTATTCCATCATCGATAAGAGATATCTAATAGCCCCTCTCGAGATTTGGGTTTAAACGGTCCAACACAGAAACTGTACAAACCCAACATCTCGAAATACAACAAGACATGCCACTTATATGGGACCACACAGATGGAAAAACCATTTTTGTGGGAATTTGCTTGTTGGGCTATGATACCATATTAGTAATGTGGCATAACTAAAATCCCAAAAGTTTACTTAAAGAAGAGGGATTATCACATCACATATTTATTATCCAAGAATCTATCCCATTATCGATGTGGGATATCTAATACTTCTCCTTTAAGCTAACTCAAAGGAAAAAGATTGTCACATCGTATATATATTATCTAAGAATATATCCCATCATCGATGTGGGATATCTAATAGTGTTAAAATTAGGTAAAGGCTTTTGCAGCAATTCTGATCGGCGGTAGAAACATGGCTAACATAGAATTGGCATGCATGGTGCACCGAAGAACTCTCTGTAAAACATATCTAAATACAGAATTCAACTGTAATTAATTAAGACATAAGTGTTCTCTTGTAACCACTATATATATATATATATTGTAAAAAGAGAATCATTCACCACATTCTATATAGTGTCAGAGCTCCTTCTATTCCCTTTGCTTGGTGATGAACCAATGTTTATTTAATTTCAAGGGTTGGTATGTGCATAAAGGTCCACATTTTGAGTATGTGTATGTGTTAGATTTATTTTAAACTATCATTAAACGTATATAGTATTACCATAGGGCTAGTCTAAAAATTCTATAAAACTACTTATAAATTCTATATTTAATTTCCATTATTTTTAAATTTTTTTAAATATTCGAATCTCACCTTCTCACAGCTGATTCACTTTGTAGAAATAGCCTCAAAAGTATTCCTCTCTTTTCTTTATAACTAGCTAGGAAGAAACCGAAGGTATGCGAACGTAATTAAGCACAATTAAACCAATCCAATCGTATCCATGATAATAATTCGTATTAGTATCTAATGCGTCCATATATATTGTTTTAGACTTTTAGTCTTCTTTTTTTTTTGAATCAAAACTTTTAGTCTTTTAAACGTATTTTTGTGTGTGTTTGTGCTAAGTTGCAAGCTAACGAGAATTTGTGACCGGTAGATAGAATATAGAACCAACATATCAACTAATGAGATTCTTAAAAGATATAATTTACATAAATTATCCGAGTCAAACTTTTTATTTTCCGGGGACGAAGTTGGTGGCGAAAGCCCAAGCATTGTTAGCCACAGGGTCTGCGATATGGTCGAACAAGTTCTCGATCGGACCTTTACCAGTAACAATGGCTTGAACGAAGAATCCAAACATTGAGAACATTGCAAGACGACCGTTCTTGAGCTCCTTTACCTTCAATTCCGAGAATGCTTCTGGATCCTCTGCTAAGTTCAAAGGGTCAAAAGCACCACCGGGGTAAAGTGGGTCAAGACCTTCACCAAGAGGACCACCTCCGATTCTGTAACCTTCGATGAATCCCATTAAAACAACTTGACATGCCCATATAGCTAATATGCTTTGCGCGTGGATCAAGTTAGGGTTTCCAAGGTAGTCAAGCCCTCCTTCCGAGAAGATCTGAGATCCTGCCCTGAACCACACGGCTTCACCGAATTTGACTCCGTTTTTGGAGAGGATCTCAGGGAAGGTGCAGCCTAATGCTCCCAACATTGCCCATCTACTGTGGATAACTTCGAGCTCACGGTTCTTTGCGAATGTTTCAGGATCGGCTGAGAGACCGGCGGTGTCCCAGCCGTAGTCTCCAGGGTATTCTCCGGTTAGGTATGATGGTGTGTTTTCCGAGAATGGTCCTAGGTATTTGGGACGGTCTGGTCCGTACCTGTCACAAAGTTTATTTTTGTTAGATACTAAATTAAATGGTTTGGTGATTAACTGAGGAAACATAAACTGATGTGGTCGTTTAGTCCGGATAAACCAATCTAATCTGATCCAGACCAAACTGAAAGAGAGAGAGAGGTTAGAGATGGAACCAGATGCTTTGAGGAGTAGACTTGACGGTACGGCGCATGACGATGCGGCCACCACCGTTGGAGGCTCCGACCTTGCGAAGGAGATCGTTGGATGGCTTAAGAGCCGTCTGGCCGGCGAAAGAAGAGTGCTGGATTGCTGAAGTGGCCATTGCTTCTTCTAAACAAGAACTCAGAGAAACAAAAGGAAGTGAGAATGAGATGTTTATTGAATTGGAGAGTGGAGACACCATTTTAATAGTACGTAAGTGTTCATTACTTCATTTTGTGGATAGACATATCAGCGAGTGTTGATTGGTTGATTTTAGATTTTCACAAACTAGATTCACGTGGAGAAGATATATGTAGAGCTTGTGGTTAGGCCATGTGGGAGTGGAAGATCTCGTGGCAGTGGAGAATAGCCATGTCAGCGAACAAGTGGATAATGTTCCAATCCAATATAACTCTCTTTTATTGGTTTAGTAGCTATGCTTGTGATTGCAAGGATAGAAAAAATCAGATGTTTATTTTTTTTTTGCTAATTAAAAACAAAGTTATATCACAGACATATGTTGTTGTTTTTTTAACTTCTGGTTACTGTTAATTAAAGAGTTTGAACGTGATTAAAATGCAAGTAATAAATAAGGAAACAAGGAACATATGATGATATAAGAAATTAGAATACACCTTTTCAAAAGATTTTGCAAGCAAATCCGCTGGTTGTTTGATCTTGATGTCCAACAGAATTGAGTAATATTCACAAATTGATTCTCCTAATGATTTGCTTCCCGAATCCAATTGTTTAAACTAATGAGATTTTTCTTGTTCTTAATGCTAATGGGAAATAATGTAATATTCTACATTTTGGGAAGTCATTTTTCAAAATATCTCCCCAAATAAGAGTAGTAGGGTGGCAAAACATTGTAGTTCATTCTGTTTTAATATTTAAATTTAATATATATATGTATATATAATATTGTATATAATCATAGTTGAAAATTAACTGATTAAAAATGAATGAATGTGAAAAAAAATTAACAAGATTTTTGTAACCAAATATAAAATTTCTAAATATCATATTTTTAGTATATATTTCAGTTTTTTTTTTGGTTACATAGATAGTATGATATAAGTTAGAGATTATGTTTGATTATAAGGACATAAATTTCGCCGGCAAAAAAAAAAAAAAAGGACATAAATTTCAATATTTTGATATTTTAACCCTTAAAGAGATTATCTATAAGAAATTCTGACTGCCTATAGTAATAAAAACATATAAACTAATATATTTATCAAAAATAATATTAAATATACTAATTTAATGTGATGGTTACAATTGAGCTTCCACAAATTAAATGCTTCTTGATTTTATCCTTTTTCTTCATTAGATTTATGTATACATAATATTGATAATTATAATATTATGTATACATAATATTGATATCATATGTAGTTGTTAACTTGTTATAAACTAATGTTGAAGTGCATCTTGTGGACCCCTGCTCTGTCGGGTATCCGATAGCTAACACGTGGACCCCTGCCCTGTCGTCAAGCGTTGGGGTACCTGGATTATCACAAAAAAGTATATATAGTACCATGAATATACCAAGTTAACAAAATAAAACAACTTCAAATAAAAAGAAAAATGAAAAGCCTTTTAGTGTTTCTCTTTGTTTTTAACATTTACATGCTTGGCTACGTATCCGGTAGAGCCGAAGTCAGAATCATGAATGAAGTTAAATTCCAAAAACGCTTATGGATGAAGTGTTATTCCAAAGATAACGTAATTGGCCCGACTATCATACCAATTGGACAATATTCTAAAATTCGTTTTCTGGCTAACCTTTGGGGTACGTCTCGTTACATGTGTACTTTGAAACAAGGACCTAACTATAAGCACTATCAGAATTTTACAGCATTTAAGCAATTCTATTGGTTTGATTATGGAGGCACATGGTATTGGTGAACCAGAGAAGATGATATCTATTTAAAGAGAGAAGGTGGCGAGAAACCGGTCGATTTATATAAAGCATATGATTGGATAAATTAAAATTGGATAACGATAGCTTTAACATGTATTTGATTAAAAAGACAAAATGATATATATCATAGTTGAATATTTACAACTTAAACTAGATTACACATTGTTTTTCCCCTTAAATTTAAATCTTTTGGATTTCCAAGTTCCAACAACAATATTTATTTCCATATTTCTTAGATTATCTTACAATCTCTTTCTTGCAAATATCTAAATAATTATATGTATTTCTTGCAAAACTGTAAATCCGAATAACATGACTCAGATTACACTTTTCATGCCCACAAAACTCATGATTGAAAGAAACACAATACCTTTTAAAATACCCACATCATATACGTCTTGTAAAAACCTTATGAGGTCCGTAAGTTTTTTCATATAATTAAGCCTGTTTCAAAAAAATAAAAAATTATACGTATAACTTTTATTAATTTAGATAAAATTGATTAACAAAAAAAGAGCTTCTTTATACTATCAATAAATATAATGTGCACACAAAGTTTACAGCTTATATTTTTTTTTTGAAAGTGAATTTTATACAAGAAAAAAAATCATATGGAACAACATAGAAGATGTTGAGAACTCTTGTTTGTACAGCCCGTTGAATTAAAACTATAAGAATTAAAAAAGAAAGTATCGGTTATGAATTTGATTTGGTTTGGTTTAATTGTAGATTGTGGTTTACTTTAAATTAACGACACGTCATCACTCTTCAAAACGGTCATAAACCGTGGAGCGTGAAACGTGATTTTAAATTCGAAACCCAAACCCAGAAATAAATCACCGACTCAGAGCAAAATTCTCTTCTATGCGTTGAGACGCAACACAACGGTCATGAAGGGATTGAACGGAGACGGAGACGGACGGCGGAGGGAGACGGGCGGCGGAGGAATCGTGAAGGGATTGAACCCTAACTTGTTCGTAAGTTACGTACATCATCTTCGATCTTCCTATTCTGTGACTCTCTAATTTTGTTACTATATCTGATTATCGATGATGATCAACCGACGACACAGGGACAGACGGAGGAGGATGGAGTCGAAGATAGATCGACGGAGACGGACGGCGGAGGGAGACGCACGGCGGAGGAATCGTGAAGGGATTGAACCCTAAGTTGTTCGGAGGAAAGATCATCTTTGATCTTTCTTATTCTGTGACTCTCTTTTGTTACTGTATCTGATTATGAACCCTAACATGTTGGTAAGTTTAGGTACATCATCTTTGATCTTTCTTATTCTGAATTTGAACCTTTCTTTGTGATTCTTTCTGTGCTTTGTTGGGTTTTTCAAAGATCAGATCACAATTCAACGAGTCTGAACCCAAAACATGAATCGTGAACGGTATATTAATTTCTCTTTAAGTCTATTTATACATGTTCTGATTGATTTTGGTATCAAGCTACTCATAATAAGTTTGTGCATGTTATGTTGATCTATTGAATTACTTTGGATGATGTTATCGGGAAGATGAACGTGATAAAAAGAAGTGACAGTGGTGGTGGTGTATACGGAGGAGGAGGATACATGCCTTAGTTCCTTGCGTGTTGTTGTCACTTGTTTTCTTATATTCTTCTTTGATTCTTTGCATATTTACTTGTTCACTTGCATTCAAACTTGCATACATACACATTCGTAATTGCTTCTTTGTTTCATTGTCTTCTTCCTTGTTTCCTTGCTTCTCTGTTTCTTTGTTTCATTGTCTCCTTGCTTCTCTGTTTCTTTGATTCATTGTCTCCTTGCTTCTCTGGTTCTTGATTCATTGTCTTCCTCCGTGTTTCATTGCTTCTCTGTTTCTTTGTTTCATTGTCTCCTTCCCTGTTTCCTTGCTTCTCTGTTTCTTTGTTTCATTTGTCTCCTTCCTTGTTTCCTTGTTTCATTACCATCCTTAACTTGCGTGCTTATTTGCTCACTAACTGTCTCAGTCTAATGTTCCATATATAGAATTATCTATTTTGCTTTGATAGTGATACTACTTTACAGAATGGAGACTCTTGAGCGTGATCTGTCAAGAAAATTTCCGCGTCCTCATTACTCTTTCTACCACATAGACCATATCTTTTTGTGTATGTGGAACAAGAACAATTGTTATCCATTTATACCAGCCTCTCAGAAACTTACTTGAAAGACCAAAGATCAGGTTCTATGATCATTCTTCTCTCTAAATATTTTATTTGTTGGTTTTAGTTTTCAGGGTTTGCGACATTGAGTCTAGTCTACTTGCAACCAGACTCGGGCCTACCACATATCTCTGGCACAAGGTTTGATTCGATGTCATAGTTTCTATACCAAATCAGATAAGGTATAACTAACTTAACTAGGCTTAGAATTAATATAAAGTCAGACAAATGTTTCCTAGATATGAAGCTAGTTAGATTTTATAGATATAGAAAGGTAAGATGTTCTGTATTTTGTTCCTCAACTCTGAAGCACTCAGTTTATTTTCCTCCCTAATTTTGTTATTTAGTAGTTTGAATATTGTCACCAACTGTTTCAGGAAATTATCTAAAGAATATTTATGCTATTGATCTGCAGATTCAGTTTTCTGCCCAAGAATTTGAAACAAACTCCATGGTTCTAATGCTCTGTAAGTGACATGTTGATCTTACTTTAATTCTTGTATATCTTTCTGGCCATGTGTCTACTGAGGTGAAGTCAAAACTTGAGAAACAAAGGCTATGTTACTGCCTCGCTGGTATGGATATTGTTGGAAGTCAAAGAGTTCAAAAGAGGTCTGAACAAAAGATCCCAAGATGATTCTTAAATTTTTAGTCTTTAGAAAGGAACAAAGAGCTGACATGATCCATATTTGCAGTGTGAGTATCTTGTAGGATAAATTGGAAAATCTTGCTCAGTTGGAAGAATCACTCAAGGTAAGTAATAGCCTTACGTATATTCATATTTTTTCTTTTCTTTGTATGCAAATTCTTGGCTCCTTAGATTAATTTTTCTTCATTTGAAACTAAAAGGTAAAAAGGTCTTTAGTGTTTCAATACTTTGAAATTCACGAACATGGACCACTACTAGTTAGCTTATCTATATCTGCTTTACAATGTTAGGTTTATACCAATTATTCTCGGCTCCTTCGTAGTCGATAGCCTTGCTTATATGAGAGAATGCAACTTCTTGAGGTGTATGATGATTAAGCTATTAGCGGAAAGCTCTTGCCTCTGATGAATGAAAGATTAACGTCTCTTCATATGACACTAAAAGGTAAAAGATTAACGACTTTTATTCTCTTGTATTTTATAGTTTGAAATGAATGTTTGATTATATTATAGCATGATCCACCACAAAAATTAGCTAATCTATCTGCCATTTACAATGTTGTTTGTAATTAAAGCTTATCATGTCTAAAATCTATAAGCACTTGTAAGTTGTCATTTATTTGATCTCGTAATTATTTTTAATGCATAGGGTAATCTCACTGATGGTACACTATTTCATTTATAGACTGTTTTGGGTTTTACTCTGCTTTTTTTAGTTGCTGGAAAGGTGAAGACTTTTAACTTTTGTTTTTAGTGTCTTTTGGTTAGTGTAACTGTTATGAGGAGTGGGCTGATAGTTGTTTCTACTTTTCAGATTGTTGTGTCCACCAAAAGCCCTAAATCTGACAAGCAATATGTTTGGGAATCGGTAGCTGATAGTAGCTCATATGTGATCAAAGAAGAAACAGACCCTGAAAACATTCTCTATTCAAGTATTCTTACATTTGATCTATATAGTTTAGTTGACTGCTTACTCCCGGGGTGCAGGACGATGACAAGTAAGAATTTGCGGATTCTACGAGGATCAAGAATCTTGTTAAGAATTACTCTCAGTTTGTTGGGTTTCCCATCTATACATGGCAGGAGAAATCAAGGACTATAGAGGTGAGGATGTCAGCTTTGTTTTTAACTATAACAGTGTTTTCACGTTGCTTATGTGTTTTAAAACTTTGTTACTCGGTGTAAGTTGAAGAGGAAGACCCAGTGAAGGAAGGAGCAGAGGTAAAACTTTTATGGTTTTTAATTGTC